ATGCAAGGCAAGCGCTCTATCACTGAGCCACCTTCCCAGCCCCTCTACCACTTTGAGCCACAGCTCCACTTCCCATTTTCTGGTGGTTAATTGGAGATAAGTGTCTTACAGACTCTTCTGCCTGGGCTGGCTTTGAACCACAATCCTTAGATCTCAGCCTTCTTTTTTTTTTGGTCCGGTCATGGGGCCTGAACTCTGGGCCTAGGTGCTGTCCCTCAGCTCTTCAGCTCAAGGCTAGTGCTCTACCATTTGAGCCTCAGTGCTACTTCAGGCTTTTTTCTTATGTGGTGCTGAGGAATTGAACCCAGGGCCTCATGCATGCAAGGCAAGCGCTCTACCACTGAGCCCCAGATCTCAGCCTTCTGAGTAGCAAGTGTTACAGGCTGGAGTTTTTCTTTCCCTCAAACTTTTTTTTCCATTTTCTTATTACCAAGGAGGCAGCAAGGAATGCTTTACTACTGTCTTCTACTTTTTACTATTCTTTGTAGACTTAGGACAAAGGGTCTTACTAGGTAGTCTGCCTTTTATTTTTTAGCCAGTCCTGGGGCTTGAACTCAGGGCCTGGGCCTGTGCTCAAGGGTATCACTCTGTCACTTGAGCCACAGCGCCACTTTCAGCCTTTTCTGCTTATGTGGTGCTGAGGAATCGAACCCAGGGCCTCATGCATGCAAGGCAAGCACTCAACCACTGAGCCACCTTCCCAGCCCCACCTTTTCTGTTATGTGGTACTGAGGAATCAAACCCAGGGCTTCATGCATGCTAGGAAAGCACTCTACCACTAAGCCATATTCCTAGTCTGGAAGTCTACCTTTTAAAGCTTCTCTATGAACTTTACCATCTTGCTCTAGAGTTGTTTCTGATTTCAGCAGCATCTTCCCTATCCCACAGACTCACAGTACAATAGGAGAGATGCTGAGGAACTTGCGAGAAGAAGTAAACTGGAGCCCATAGTCCATCTGTTCCCAGTGTGTCAAAAGTCGAGCTTTTCCTTGGTCAGGAGTCTCAAAGGGTGTCCCTTTCACTGTATGTAAGAAGACATACATTGCCTGGGAAGAGGGAAGTGGACAGTATTGAGAGGCAAAGTAGTCCTTCAGCTCAAGAATTATGCTTAAGATTCCACAAGGAAGACATAAATCCCCACACAATTGATGATTTTATTTTGGTTGGGAAAGGCCTGGGGTAGTTACAAGAGTATGGTTTAGTGCTCACCAAGTTATGAATGACGTTGGTCAGGGTCCAGACAACAGGAATGCTGAAGAAAGGGATGCTGAGTAGAACCACATGCAGCAGTCCTACCAAGATGATGTAGGCCAGCCAGATGCCCCGACTGTTCATCACTCGAGTGTTGGGATTTACTTCACTGTGTGCTACCCCCACATTCATCCTACCACAATGAAGGTTCAGACAGGAATCCAACTCAATTTCTTCATAACCTGTGTTTGAGTTTGTTTTCCCTAATTGTCTCCTAAAGAGCCCCAGTCCTCTGAACTCTATTATACATGAAAGAACTACTTTATCATGCAGACCACAGACTTGGGGAAAATTACAAAAGAAGAGTCATTATGGCAATTTTTACTTTGATCCTTACACTTCCACTGTAACACGGAATAAGCCTAGGCTTGGGGCACCCGCTTCAAGGAGTGGGGGTTACACCTAACTTGGAAGAAATTCGTAAGTAATCAGGAAAAGGTCACACATATTCGGTGTTCTTTTAAGAGTCAATCAAGGGGCCAGTAGAAGGACTGAGAGTAAAACTACCATTAGTCCCCACTTTTTTCTCTGGGGCTTGCTCAACCTCCTACTCTCCTAGCATGTCAGCAGCCAACAACTTTATTCTTTCTCAACTATGAGGCGCTGCAAGAACTTGCCCAGTTTTCTGGTCTGAACTAAGAGAACTGAGCTCAAACCTGAAGAGATGGCGCTACTTAAAGCTAGGGCAGCTCAAATGAACAAGAGAATACAAACGATTAACTAACGAAGGCAATGAAGGAGATAAAGAGCTTTTTAATAAAGAAATGGAAACACTGTGGGGGGGGGGGGGAAGAGCCAAGCCGAAATCTTGGAAATAAAGAGTTGAATTGCCCACGTAAAAATCTCAATTGAAAGCCTAGGTAATCAACTTGGCTCTTTAAAAGTGCTAGCCTTTAAGCAAACGACGCTTGGTTAGCAAGCAGCTCTTCTGGCCCGCCCTAAAATTCCCTAAGCCCCAGTATCGCGCCCGCCCCGAGGCCCTCCCAGCGCCCCACATTCGCTCTTCCGATATATTAAAACTTTCTTCAACCCTGCCTTCTTGATATTTAACTCTCCACCACTCTTTCTGCCTCCCACCGTTTTCCCTCGGCAGCAAATTCCAGGATTTAAGCAGCTCCTACCTGCCAGCTTCGGGGACCCGTCCGGCTAGGGGCGCGGCGCGGGGCTCTACACCTGTGTTCTCCCGGAAGTGCCCGCCTTCTCCCTTTTGCGCGCTCTCAATTGGTAGAGCAGACTAAGCGCTGCTACCAGTGTCTGCAAGGTGGACGTACAATTGGTCGCTTTTTAGGTCGTTAGGTAGCTGCGAGTCCCGCCCCCTTCTCCCAGGTCCTACTTTTGAGAGAACCGTGGAAAGCTGCCGAGAGGCGTGAGAGTCACGTCAGCCGTTGACGAATGAGGAGAGCCGATGGTCTAGGGTGGAAGTAAGAGTGGCAGCGATTGGTTGGCTCTGGTTCCTACGTCTAGGCGGGAGCTCCGGGAGGCGGAGGCAGCCGGTGGGGGCCTAGTGGAGTGGAGGGGTAACAAGATGGCGGCGGAGACGGTGGAGCTCCATAAGCTGAAGGTACAGTGGGGAGAGGAAAGGGCTGAGGTGGGCTTTCCGGGAGGATTGCGCTTTCTTCTCTTGGAAGTTCTCCTTTCAGGGTTTCCCACGTCGTTTCCGGCTCCGGCTGTGGTTCTTTTACGCCTCCCTTCCCAAAGGCCCCACTTCTCCCCAATGTACTGCTGCCTCTACCTGTAGTTTCGGCTTCCTTCCTGTCGTCGCTTTGGCCGCCAACCCCTCCCCACCTCGGTCGGGTTTATTACTCGTTTTTCTAACGCTGGGTTACGTCAGTTGTCCCTCCTCTGCCCCAGGCAGATCTCAGCCCAAATTGGTGCTTTCCAGTCTGCTGACCGAAAGCCGAGGTTCTCCTGTTAGCCGATGATGAGCACTTTTGCGTATGTAGATGTCCATGATGCACCTACATATTCCTATATACCCTGAACATGATTCCGAAAATGCTTGCGTTCCCTTTTTCTAGGTAGGGCACGCCTAAGAATTTTGAAACCAGCCGGGCACAGTGGCTCTCTCCTGTCATTCTAGCTACTTAGGAGGCTGTGATCTGAGGATCACCGTTCGAAGCCAGGAAAGTCTGTGAGACTCTTAGCCCCAATTAATCACTAGAAAGCCGGAAATGGAGCTGTGGCTCAAAGTGATAGATCACTAGCCTTGAGTGCGAGAGCTGAAGGACAGCACCCAGACCCTGAATTGAAGCCCCAGACTGACCCCCCTCACTCCCCCCCTAAAAGCAATTGAAACCATGGTGAGGCCTTAGAAAATAGCCCTCTCCATAGAAGCTTGGTGTTAAGGCAGCCTTGAAAAGTTTGTGAAAATACTCCTCAGCTTTCAAAGTTTCTCCAGTTATCTCACCTGATGTGCCCCTCCTGCCACTGAGAGAGAAAAAAATAGTTCCAAAGTTAGAGTCATCTTTGGCCTGTTTCATATTGGGTCCTGATAGCTCCATTGGAAGGCGTTCTGAATCCCAGGAGCTTTTTTTTTTTTTTGGGTCCAGTCATGGGGCCTGAACTCTGGGCCTGGGAGCTGTCCCTCAGCTCTTCAGCTGAAGGACTCTACCACTTGAGCCACAGCGCCACTTCCAGCTTTTTTCTTTTTGCTTATGTGGTGCTGAGGAATCGAACCCAGGGCCTCAGGCATGCAAGGCAAGCGCTCTACGACTGAGCCACCTTCCCAGCCCCGCAGGAGCTATTTTAAGTTGTACCTTTTGGGAATCTTGGTAGCTTTCCTGCACTTAGAATATCATTCCTAGAAGGAAATAGTTCCTTTTAGGAAGAGAATATCTTGATTAGTTCCTTATTTGTGATTTGTAGTTTTCCCATTAGATGTTTGCTCTTGTTTTGGTCACATCATCTTAAGAACCTTTTTTTTCGGGGAGGGGGGCAGTAATGCCAGGGCACTGTCCCTTTTTTCACATTCAATCAGTATCTGTCAGGTTTATATTAAATTTGCATTTGAATGGTTAAATCACTTTTACATAATAGTCTCTGACCTGATTTCAGATATTATGGTCTAGGAGACCCATGAGGCAAGCGCTCCTGAGGATCTAAACAGGATTCACCCCCTTCCAACTACCACTTTTTTTTTCTCCTAGTACCATATATCAACCCAGGATCTTATACATGCTAAGCACTGCTGTGCCACTAAGCTAACAACCTCAGTCCAAGGATGTTTTTTGTTTGATCTTGAGATATAAGGTATTACTAACTTTTCCTGGTTTGGCCTGCTACCCTTTTTGCTTTCTTAGCTGGGGTTATAGGCAAGAACCACTAGCCTTGGCTCAGGACTCCCCCTTCCCTCCCCTCCCTTTCCTTCCCCTCCCTTCCCTTTCCCTCCCCTCCCTTCCCTTCCCCCTCCCCTTACCCTCTCCCTCTTTCTCTTCCTCCTCCTCTTCCTCTCCCACCTCCTCTCCCTTCCTCCTCTTTTTTTGATATTAATTTGAAATTTATTAAAATGAAAAGCTTTTTGGGTAAGCCTTAAAAACATTTTTTTTTTTTTTGGTCGGTCGTGGGGCTTGAACTCTGGGCCTGGGCGCTGTCCCTCAGCTCTTCAGCTCAAGGCAAGCGCTCTACCACTTGAGCTACAGCGCCACTTCTGGTTTTCTGGTGGTTTATTGGAGATAGGAGTCTTATGGTCTTTCCTGCCCGGGCTGGCTTTGAACCGCGATCCTCTGATCTCAGCCTCCTGAGTAGCTAGGATTACAGGCGTGAGCCACCTGCGCCCGGCTAAAAACATTTTTGTATATTAAAAAAAAATCCAGATATCAGCCAGCAACTGGTGGCTCATACCTGTAATTCTAGCTACTTAGAAGGCTGAGATCTGAAGCTCATGTTTTGAAGGCACACAGATCCAGATCTAAGTGACTCTTGTCTCCAGTTAACCAGCAAAAACCTGGAAGTGGAGGTGCGACTCAAGTGATAGTGTTGTGCTTGAGTGAAAAAGCCAAGCAAAGGTATGATATCCTGAGTTCAAACCCTAGTACTGGCACACATGCACTTGCATACTGGCACGCGTGCGCACTCTAGAGTCAAACACAAGGGGTTACATATTGTATGACTCAATACCACTTTGCTTGAATCCACCGGTGAGTCCTCATTTTACATGGCATCTCAGTGGTATCTGATGGCTCATAGCTGTCTTCAGGATGCATTCTTTTTTTTTTTTGTCAGTCGTGGGGCTTGAACTCTGGGCCTGGGCGCTGTCCCTCAGCTCTTCAGCTCAAGGCGAGCGCTCTACCACTTGAACTACAGCGCCACTTCCGGTTTTCTGGTGGTTTATTGGAGAGAAGAGTCTCACAGTCTCTCCTGCCTGGGCTGGCTTTGAACCGCGATCCTCAGATCTCAGCCTCCTGAGTAGCTAGGATTACAGGCGTGAGCCACCAGCGCCCGGCAGGATGCATTCTTTAATTACATTTGCTTATCTGCTTTTTCTTCAGAGCACTTCTTACTTTTTTACACAAGTATCTCTAAACTCTGATGAAAAGTATATTTCTTTCCCCAGAAGTTGGAGGGGCTCTATAAAATTATCTTGAAGTCCTGAAGAGCCATGGACCCCTATTTAAGAACCCTTTCCTTATACTCTGACTTCTGGGCCTGGTCATTGTCCCTGAGCTCTTCAGCTCAAGACAAGTGCTCTACCACTTGAGCCACAGTGCCACTTCCAGTTTTCTTGTGGTTAATTGGAGATTAGAGGCTAATGTCTGGCTTTGAACCTCGATCCTCAGATCTCAGCCTCCTGAGTAGCTAGGATTACAGGCGTGAGCCACCAGCACCTGGCTTCCTTTTCTTTTTCTTGAGACATTGCCTTCCTGTGTAGCAAAGGCTGTCCTCTATGTAGCCATGACAGTTCAAAGTCCTCTTGCCTCAGCTTCTTTTTTTTTTTTTGGGCCCCGTCGTGGGGCCTGAACTCTGGCCCTGGGCACTGTCCCTCAGCTCTTCAGCTCAAGGCTAGCACTCTACCACTTGAGCCACAATGCCACTTCTGGCTTTTTTCTTTTTGCTTATGTAGTGCTGAGGAATTGAACCCTGGGCCTCGTGCATGCAAGGCAAGCGCTCACTGAGCCACCTTCCCAGCCCATTGCCTCAGCTTCTTGTGTGTTGGGATTATTGGTGTGTCCCGCCTTTCCTGGCTGTTCTACCTTTTAGAGGTTCTATCTTCCAACGTCACCACACAGGAGAACAAGCTCACACCATATCCAAATCGTAGCTAGGTCATAGGGAGAACCTGTTTGTTTTTTTCCATGTAGTAATTTGCAGAGCATTTGTTAGAAATCAAATATTTTTTTGTTCTTAGTGCCAAAAAAAATTAGCTGAAGCTGGGTGCTGGTGGCTCACACCTGTAATCCTAGCTACTCAGGAGGCTGAAATTGGAGGATCGAAGTTCAAAGCCACCCCTGGCACCAAAGTCCATGAGACTCTTATCTCCAATAAACCACTCAGAAAACCAGAAGTGGTGTTGTGGTCTCCAGCGCTCGCCTTGAGCTGAAGAGCTGAGAGAGAGCGCCCAAGCCCAGAGTTCAAGCCCCAAGACTGACCAAAAAAAAAGAAAGAAAGAAATAGGGTTTTAGTATTTTTTTTTAATTTTTATTTACTTATTTTTGTTGGTCATAGGGCCTCAACTCTGGGCCTGGGTGCTGTCCCTCAGCTCTTTTTTTTTTTGGTCTGTTGTGGGGCTTGAACTCTGGGCCTGAGCGCTGTCCCTCAGCTCTTCAGCTCAAGGCAAACGTTCTACCACTTGAGTAACAGCGCCACTTCCGGTTTTCTGAGTGTTTATTGGAGATAAGAGTTTCACAGACTTTGCTGCCCCGGCTGGCTTTGAACCGAGATCCTCAGATCTTAGCCTCCTGAGTAGCTAGGATTACAGGCGAGAGCCACCGGTGCCTGGCTGTCCCTCAGCTCTTTAGCTCAAGGCTAGCACTCTACCACTTGAGCCACAGAACCACTTCCAGCTTTTTCTGCTTATGGGGTACTAAGGAATCAAACCCAGGGCCTCATGCATGCAAGGCAAGCACTCTACCACTGAACCAATTTCCCAGCCCGGGTTTTAGTATTATTAAAAGTAGTAGTTTTATTTATTTATGTTTATTTGTGTGGTCCTGGGGATTGAACTCCACCTGGGTGCTGTCCCTGAGCTTTTGTGTGCAAGGCTAGTGCTCTGGCACTTGAGCCACTGCTCCACTTTGGCTTTTTGGTGGCTAATTGGGGATTAAGAGTCTCATGAACTTTTCCTGCTTGGGCTGGCTTACAGATAGCTAGGATTACAGGTATGAGCCACCATGCCCAATTTAAAAGCAGTAGGTTTAAATTGAACTTTATCTCTCATTTTTTCTAATTTTATTGATTGTTTGATTGCCAGTAGTGGAGCTTAAATTTAGGGCCTTGGCAGTGTCCCTTAGATTTTCTGCTCAAGGCTGGCACTCTTCCACCACTTCAGCTCTTAGGTTGTTATTTAAAGATAAGTCTCTTGGATTTTCCTGCCAAGATAGGCTATGAACTGTGATCCTTAGATCTCAGCCTTCTGAATAGCTAAGATTACAGGCATGAGTCATCAGCACCTAGATAGTTATTTTATATATTTTTTTGGTGATTACTACATCTTTTACTCATTGGGATTCATCCTGTTAACTAAGGGAAATTTTTTTTTCCAGCTTGCTGAACTAAAGCAAGAATGTCTTGCTCGTGGTTTGGAGACTAAAGGAATAAAACAAGATCTAATCAACAGGCTCCAGGCTTATCTTGAGGAGCATGGTGAGTACATGTGGAGGCCAGGTGATGTAAGGGGATTAATTTTTAGACTCTGACACTTAGGTTTCTTCCTTCCTTAGATCATTGCTAGTGTAAACTCTAAGATTATCAAGAAAACTCTTGGGCCAGGTGCTGGTGGCTCATACCTGTAATCCTAGCTACTCAGGAGGCTGAGATCTGAGGATCATGGTTCAAAGCCAGCCCAGGCAGGAAAGTCTGTGAGACTCTTTATTTCCAGTTAACCACTAGAAAACTGGAAGTGGCACTGTGGCATAAGTGGTAGAGCACTAGCCTTGAGCTGAAGAGCTCAGGGACCGTGCCCAGGAGGAGTTCAAGCCCCACAGCTGACAAAAAAAAAGAAAAGAAAAGAAAACTTGGGCTGGGCATGGTACACATAATCTAGCGCTTGAGAAATTTAGGCATAATTGTGAGTTTAAGGCCAGTCTGAGCTACATAATAAAGACCATATCTTGAAAAAAGTAAAACCACCCAAAGCTCGTGATCATCTAAAACGGAGTAGTTATTATTAATATAAAATACATTTTATAGGGCAACTTTAGGTTAGCTTTTTTTCTTTTTTTTTGGGTCCGGTCATGGGCCTGAACTTTGGGCCTGAGCGCTGTCCCTCAGCTCTTCAGCTCAAGGCTAGCACTCTACCACTTGAGCCATAGCGCCACTTCCAGCTTTTTTTTCCTGGTTATGTGGTGCTAAGGAATCAAACTCAGGGCCTAATGCATGCAAGGCAAGGGCTCTACCACTGAGCCACCTTCCCAGGCCCAGGTTAGCTTTTTTCCCCCCTATCCTTCTTGTGTGTGTGTGTGTGTGTGTGTGTGTGTGTTGGTACTGGGGCTTCATTGAACTCAGGACCTAACCTAGCTCTCTATGACTTCAGGGATATTTTATTGGAGTTACATAGTCTTACACACATTTGTATAGCAGTCCTCAGATCTCACTTTCCTAAGTAGCTAGGATTTACAGGCATGACCCACCAGCATAGAACTACTTTTTCTTGGTTGTGGGGCTTGAATTCTGGGCCTTGGTGCTGTCCCTGAGCTCTTAGAAGCTCAAGGCGAGCATTCTACCACTGAGCCACAGGGCCACTTCTGGTTTTCTGGTGGTTAATTGGAGATAAGAATCTCTCACAGGGCTGGGAAGGCGGCTCAGTGGTAGAGTGCTTGTCTTGCATGCATGAGGCCCTGGGTTCGATTTCTTAGCCCCACACAAGCAGAAAAAGTTGGAAGTGGTACTGTGGCTCAATTGGTAGAGTGCTTGCCTTGAGCTGAAGAGCTAAGGGACAACACCGAGGCCCAGAGTTCAGGCCCCACAACTGACAAAAAAAAAAAAAAAAAGAGCTACTTAGGAGGTTGAGATCTAAGGATTGCAGTTCAAAGCCAGCTTGGGCAGGTTAGTCTATGAGACTCTTTTATCCCCAATTAACCACCAGAAAACCAGAAGTGGGGCTGTGGCTGTAGTTATGGCTCAAGTTGTAGAACACTGCCTTGACTTGAAGAGCTCAGGGACAGCGCCCAGGCCTAGAGTTCAAGCCCCATGACTGACAAAAACAAAATTAAGATCTGAAGTTCCTGGCTGAAAATCAACTTGGATAGACAAATCTGAGATAACTTTTGCCTCCAATTAGCAAAAAGCTGGAAGTGCAGATATAGCATCAGTCTTGAGTGTAAAAGCTAAGCAAGAATGGGAGGTCCTGAGTTCAAGAGCCAGTATTGGCACATACATGTGAGCTCACATACAAAGTTAGATGGAGAGTTGAAGTGTAGTTTTCAATAGTAGATCATTTGTCTAGCATGCAGAAGGACCTGTGTTTGAATCCTAGCTCTACAAAAGTGAATGAATGAATGTATGAGAGTGCGTGTGTTTATGTGTTATAAATGTGTTAGCCTGTGTAATCTCAGCTGCTGGGAGGCTGATAAAGAAGAATTTTGAATTTGAGGCCAGCATGGATAATTAATGAAACTCTGTCTTAAGGAAGGAAGGAATGAAGGAAGGGCGGAGGGAGGAAAAGGAGGAGGGGTTAGCCTAGTGGTACAAGTATCACTGGACTAAAATTTTAAAGTCCTGAATTTTAATTACTCATTTACTAAGAATTTACTATGTCAAACTTCTTACATGTCTTAAGTATTCATGATTTATGATATATGTGTCTGGAACCTTGAAGTCTGACATTTTCCATTTCTGCCTTTAAGAAAATAAAAACATGGGCTGGGAAGTTGGCTCAGTGGTAGAGCGCTTGCCTTGCATGCCTGAGGCCCTGGGTTTGATTCCTCAGCACCACATAAGCAAAAAGAAAAAA